AGCTTCAGTTTTGTCATTTTTGCTTCTAGGGAAAGTTTGTATCCAGCTACTCCTAATGACAATCAGGTCTTCATTCAGTTGCATTTAATTTGCCCACCATATTGCTTTCAGTGACAATGTGTCCTTCTTTACAGAAGCAGTTCTTTATTCGAAGGACTGTCAGAGGATGGTCCTCTAGTAGTTGAAGACTTCCTTTTCAAAATCTGCCCTGTCCAAGACCAAGCTAATGACACATAGCCATGAAAAGTGAAATTGGGGCCTGGAAGGAGCTCATCAATAGAACATTGGACTGAGCTTGAGTGCAGGACACCTGATCAACCTTCCCTGATTGACTGTAATAACATGCACCATATTTCTGTTTAAATGTGTGAACTGTTCCTGGTACACAATTGATTATCATGATACTACATGGCTTTAATCTTTGTTCATTTTAAATTCCATTTTACCTTTCTTGTTATAAGTTAAAAATGTTTAGGGGGTTTTTTGTGTGTATCATACATGCATTTTTTAAAGGAGATTTTTAACTTCCCTGTACAGTTCTTGGGATTTTGTGATGCTGCACTTCAAAGAAACAAAAAGGGTATGTTAAAGGGATCTATGCACAAAAATGCATGAATGAAGACTCCATGCTCCCCCCCCCCACACAATGCTAAATAAAAAAAGAATTATATAAGGAAGATTATTTGCAAAAAAATAAGTCTTTTAGGCAAAATGTATATAAAACATGTAACTAAATAGAAATGTACATGAAAATTCACATGAGTTTTCATGTGGGTTTTTTAAAGAAGTTGCAAACTAATGCGGAAATGAGACAGAATGAGCTGAAGATTAGAAAAATGGGAAACTCAGAGCAACTGAAATTGATCTCCATCCCTCTGGACACAGGCAAGAACCTGCAGTTTTGACAAAGTATTCTTCAAATTAGAAAAGCCTTTGATGTCACCTGCCTGCCTCTTCATTTCCCTAATTCTATCCTTGATTCTCTCCTTGGCTGGGCAGCAGAATTATTAATCAGATGGTAATGCCCACTGTCTTCTTTTGAACTGTAGGATATTTCTCTCATTTTTGACTTTGAAAAAACAGAGAGATGAAAAAGCAAGGAAATTAATCTGTTCATGAAACAAAAATAATCCCTGTCTCCTGGAAATGAATATGTAAATCTGGGAAGACAAGTACAAAATCATGGAATTTGCTATAAAAAAAGAGGCATTTGGAAGATCAAAAAAGAGAAAAGAAAAAAGACTAGAACATTCACATATAAAAAGAAACTACAGCTAACAAGGATACCAACTAATACAAATATAAAATGTGTTGTATCAAAACCACATTGTTTTCCCTTGTATATAAAGCAACTTTTTTTTTCAGCATTCCTTTACAGTCACTGGTGATCAGGAACTGCAAACAGGTGAATGCACAGGCTTCTGTACAGGCGAGGGAGGGTGGAAGGCAGAGAGTCGCAGCGCTCTGTTCCTCCTCTGAACCCAGCACAGAAATGGAACAAGTTGCTGGTGGACGGCAGTTCCCCTTCTACACCCAGCAAAGAAATGAGGCCCTTTATCCCTCCTTGGCCAATCCTGAGCAATTCAGTAATTTTTAAATTACAGGCTGCTATCTGTTGTGGTCTTTTCTACAAGATTGATTTAAATAGCGAATATTGCCTGAGCCCCATGGAAGAGGACTGGGAGACCCAGCAGCTTCCAGACTTGTCCAGTAATTTGTATTTATGCTTTAAAACAACAAGATCCCTTGAATGTCCTATCCATGTTGCATAAGTTCTGCAATACAGACCGTTTACTCTTGACTCAATGGCCATGGCTTTTTCTCACAAATGATTTCAGTTATGCAGCGCACTCAGTTCTACTCAAACCCTTCTGTTTTCCCATATCACTGTTGTCAGGGCATTCCTTTTCAAGACCGATCCTTATTCTACTCCATGGATCAAAGTGCATTCTCCAATTTTTGCAAAGCTACACAGAATAAGACACACTCTGTACTTGGAAAAATATCCGTAGTATTTCTTACTTTGTATGAAGGCATACCAGGAGTGCAGCGCGTTATGAAAAGGCCACCTTGGTGCCCTCGCCACACATGCTGTGCACAGTGTCACATTATCTCCCTTGCTCCTGGGATGTTCGCAGCTGAAATTTAGCACCTGGTGTCAGTGGGAACGTGAACGCACTGCAGCAGCAGCTCCAGCCTCAGTCCACCAGAAAAATAACTATTCCAAAACACAGCGGTCGATTAAATGAGCTCAACCAGAATGGAGGTATTGGCAGAGCAAACAATCAGCAATGAATGTGAAAGGACTGAACGCAAATCTCCGTGAAATCAGGGAAAGAGCGGTGTGTGTGTGTGTGTGTGTGTGTGTGTGTGTGGTCAATGCCATCAATCATTTTGAAGGGAACTGTCAATGCATAGAGAAAGAATAGCAGAATGAGTTGTCCTTTTATTTTCTTCTAACATTGCCATTGTCACATCTTTTGCCATGTTGCTCCCTTTAGGTACTACATCAAAAATGTGCTTTATCCTTCTTTTCCAAATTTGGCTTATCTGGAGGACTCCAGACCAAATTCTTGGACAACCTTCACCATTCCTTCTGTGCTGTTCCTTCTCCATCCAACTATCCTTTGCCCCAACATCACTACTCATGATCACAGTGTGCTTAGCAAGCCACTGGCCAGGGATGTGTGCCAGTTGTGTGCCAGCTGGATCCTTGCTGGTATGGCTTGCCCTGTCTTCTGAACCTGGGCAACATGGTTTGTTTGGGGAAGGGGCATCCATAGATTGTAGTGTTATGTGGGACTTATGATTGCTTTCTGAAACAAGCCATGATGTCCCAGGTTTGGAGCACATGGCAAGATGCACCAGCAAGGGTCATCAGAGAAATCTGGCCAGCACACTGCGTGGAATGCCCCACTGTCAAAGCACGTCTGCCTTGATGCTTTATTTCAGCAGTCAAAGCCCTCTGGCCAGGGATTGTGGCATTGTGGTACTTCATGAAAGTACCAATGGCTAGAGGAGCAACCACACGAGTCTAAGTTGCAGTAAAAGCAACACATGAGTTTTATCTCCCCTTAAAGACTAAGCTGTTTATCATGGAGTAAGCTTTCCCACAAAAATTTGTGCCACAAGAGACAGCACCCAACTCAGTACTAACAAAGGTAATATATTGTGCTAATATAAGCCACTTCTTGCCCACCACCAACAGCGCTTGCAGGCTTAACAGGCTTTGCTGGAAAAACTGCTGCACTCTTGGCCTTGGGCCTGATGTTGCTCATCGTACTGCAACAGAATTCATGCTAGTGCTATTTACACCAGCCCAATAAATGTGCTGGTTTTTAAGGTACCACAAGATCTGTGTCTATTATATGCAAGTAGCTATACTGTACCGTGACCCTCCTCTGCTATGAGGGAAAAGCCCAGTGGTGGAGCACCTGCTTTTCATATAGAAGGGCCATGATTTGGTCCCAGAATTGGTAGGAAAGACTCCTGTCTGAAGACCTGCTGAGCCTCTGCCAGGCCATGTAGACAGTGATGCGCTGGATGGACTACTCAGTATAAGGCAGCTTCTTGCACTTCTACTAAAACAGCAATGGCTTCAGCGTTCAGACACACAGTACTTCCCTTAGCCAGATGGAGAACAGTAAATATATGGAATGCAAGTCAACTGTGAAGTCAGAGCTGATGGAAATCTATGTAAGATGTAGCCCTCAATATCTTCCTACTAGAATGCTTATAACATTGCCGTTTTTATGGCATTTGCATTGTATTTTATTGTTCAATTTTATACATTGTTGTAAACTGCCCAGAGAGCATTGGCTATGTAATAATAACAATAGAAAGCACATGGGCGGCATCAATGAATCACCCTGTTGAAAGACATTCTTGTTATTCTTCCACATATGCTGCATGCCTACAGCAGTATTTTCTGTTCTCCAGGAAATATTCCATACAAAATCTCATAGAAATAGTAGCAACTAAGATCTGCCTAACAAGATCCTCTACAACCTTGAATGCCAGCTGCAGAGAAGTTTAGGTAGACCAAGTGAGCATTTCAGCATGGGTGAGCTGTATCCACGTTGCCTTCCGCAGGTCAAGATGATGCATCTGCTTGTTTTCGATGTCAGGCAGGCAGTTACTATAACAGAACATCCGTCCATTCATTCATTCATTCATTCATTCTAAATCTTCCTACCTCAGTTCTTAGAACAGTGCCCTCATTAGGCAGTTTCCAAGAACAGATGAAACACCTCATTAAAATTACAGTATACACTTAAAAAAATCCAAACATTAGGTCAAATTAACCATCTAAATTCAGCATAAAATGTATCAGTCAGGAGAGGTTTACACATAACAGGGATCATCCCAGAAAGGCTAAACAAAACAAATAAATAACTTTGAACTCGTTTAAAAGCAGCCAAAGAAGAGCGCATAAGCTTGTCACCCACCCCTCATCTATCTAGAATGGTTTTCTTCCCACAACCATGACACTGTCTATGTCTATCTCACCTCCAGAATTCTATACAGCCCTTGTTTTGAGGATCATAACATGGCTTAAAAAGCTGAGATATGATCAAGTTTCAAAAACATGCAATCAGCTCCTTTCATCTTCCTTTCTTGGAGCACTATAGTGAACTCTAGATGTCTCCAATTTGCCACAGTTTTCCATTATGCCCCAAACCAAGAAACCATGTTTACCAGATTCAGAACAAATCAGGATTTTAAACCAACTTCAGATCATGGTTTAAGATCTTGGCTTGTCCTAGACACAGTAACCATCACTTCCAGTAACCACTTCCCAGTAGGAATCTATGCATTTAATAATGGTATGCTGTGAAGTGAAAAGAGACGCGCTTACATGTCCAGGTACAGGCCTCACTCACCTCTAGGCTTATTAAGCCTGGAATCAGCCTATGATCCTCTGAACCAGCCCAGTACTATTAGCATAATAAGAGTTAAAATCCACCTGTGTATCATCATAGACAATTTGGTACTCTTACCTGACATGCATTGTACAGAAGTTGATGCTCAAATTTCTTGATTCCCAAGATATTCTGGAACATCTCATACAGCTGCTCCTTACTGAGGATCAGCTCTGAGGCAGCGCTCGCCGTCATTCTGGCTTGTGCTTTACGTGGATCCTCCTCACCCCGATATATTGTATCAAATTTTGTCATCCAGGAAGTAAGGACCGTTTCCTTGCTGAGGCCATCAATCTCCGGGAGACTACGGACCCTCTTTTCAATATGTTTCTTGAAGACTTCTCGAGAGTCGTTAGCTGAAAACCCACCACTCTGCACCATTCTGGCAACACGGTCACTTTTCAGAAATACCTGCAAGGAAAGCAGATGCAGAAATGTCAACACTCCTGGAGGTTTTGGATCCTCCTGGCTGTGAAGGGGCCAGAGACACATTTCATTCTGAAATGCCATATGGCTGCTCAGGCACTGGTGTCAACACAGGCAACAGTTCTCCTCTCCTCTCCCGCATGCTCATGGCTCAGTTCCATAAAGTGGAACAGAACAGCATCCACACAGTGTGAACTTTTTGAAAAGCATTTTTAACAATTAGGGTTTTGGTAACCTTCATGAAATGGTGTGGCATTTTAAGCTGAATGCAGATTGATTAAAAGTCACTGTATAAGCAGAATGGTGATCTCTTTTTCTTGCAGGGACTATTTGAGTGCAATGAATTATTAAAACAGCAGAGTTTCCATGTGGGAAAAAGTGTATACACTGCATCTATTGGTTCGGATCCAGATTTAGTTGTGCCTAAAGAAAACCCATGGAAATCAGTGGTACTTCGCTCAGTCATAGCCCACTGATTTTAATGGGTTTTCTTTAGGTGCAACTAAATCTGGATCCAACCTATTGTCATTTATAATTGCAGAGTCATCTGTTTTGCTGCTGTTTCTGAGAAATTTGTCACACATACTACAAGTACACAACCAACATGAACACAAAAATGATTGAGAGAAGTGATTGCAGGTCAGACAACTGGTTTACCTAGCCCAGTATTATCTATGGTTGCATTTCTGCTTGTGGCATTTCTCCAGGTCTCAGGAGGAGGTCTTTCCCATCACCTGCTACTTAATCCTTTTAATTGCAGATGCCAGGGATTAACCCTTAGGTGAGGAAGTAAAAGGACCTATGAGCAAATTTTCAGACAATACAAAACTGTAGGGAATAGTGAACACCCTGGAAGACAGAATGCAGATCCAGGGCAATCCTGATAAGCTTGAACACTGGGCTGAAAGCTACACAATGAGATTCAACAGGGCCAAATGCCAAGTCCTCCGCCTAGAAAAAAGAAACTGAATGCATCAATACAAGATGGAGAATAGGTGACTCAACAGAACTGAAAAGAAAAAGACCTTGGAGTAATTGCGGACAAGAGGCTAAATATGAGACAACAATGTGATGAAGCCACCAAAAGGCTGTAAACCGTCCCAAGATGTCTAAGTATGGGATGGTATAGAACAGGGGTTCTCAAACTTTGTCAACGGGGGCCAGTTGAAAGGTGCCAGTGGTAGGCATGGGCTGCCAAGGCGGTGCCGGCAGGGGGGGGGGGGGGGGGGGGGGGGGGGGGCGGGGAAATGGGGGTACGGGGGGTTTGGCAAGGGGGGGGGGGGGGGGGGGGGGGGGTGCGGGACGGTGTGGGGCTGACAAATGTGCGTACGAGAGGTTTAGCAAGGCGGGGATAGGGGGAGTGCGTGGGGCGAGGCACTGGGTTGCTTGCAAGGAGTTTGTCTTCTCCAATCAAGTCCAAAACGATCTCCCCGCAAGCAAGCTGCCACCAGGGGCGCACACGGCAAGGCGCTGGCTTGCTCACCAGGAGATCGTTTTTTCTCCAAAACGATCTCCTCACAAGCAAGCCGCACGCCTGATGAGTGCAAAGCTGTGGGGCGGGCCAGTGAAATGGGTATGGTGGGCTGGATCAGGCCCGCAGGCCTTAGTTTGAGGACCCATGGTATAGAAAATAAATAAATCAATAAATGGGCAAATACTAGTTTGGGAAAACATTAACAAAAATATCATTTCCACATCATGAGAAGTAGTACTTCTTCTATGCTCCTCACTAGTCAGATCTCATCTGGAATACTGTGTCCAGTTCTGGATACCAAGATTTAGGAAAGATGCAGAAACACCAGAATGGGGCCAGAGGAGGGCAACAAAAATGATCCAGGGTTTGGAAACACAGCCCTGTGAGGAGAGACTGAGAGAACTGGGCATGTTCAACCTTGAGATGAGAACACTGGGGGTGGGGGGGCATGAAAGTCTGTGCCCAAGAGGAAAGGCAAGATCTCTTCTTGCTGATACCACAGTGTAGGACATGGAATAATCAGCTCAAATTGAGACAAACCAGATTCAGAGTAGATGTCAGGAAAAGTTTCCTCACTGTCAGAGCAATATGGCACTGGAACCAGCTGCCTAGAGAGGTCATGGAGTCTCCTACGCTAGAGACACTCAAAAAGACACTGGACAGTCATCTGAGTGAGATGGTGTGACTTGGTGTCCTGCAACAGCCGGGGCCTGGATCTGGTGGTCCCTTTCACCTCTACTGTCCTATGATTCTGTGAAGCCTGGGCTTGTGCTGGCAGAGAGTGTGCTGGCTGTACCGCTGAGCAACAGTCCTTCCCCAAATCATCGCTCAGTTTCATAGCACAACCTCTGCAAACAATTTGCATGATTTTCTTAAGCTGAAATTTGCCACAGAATGGGATGTGAGGAGAGAACACAGGAATGTGGCCAGATTCTTGAACATATGAAGGAAGAACTTGGGTTTCAGAAACATTGTCATCATCATCTTACCATCATCATCGCACCACATTGATTTTACAGGCTTACTAACAATGAAAATAAGATGTTTCAGATATAAATGAAGATCAGTGTGCACATCAGTACGGATTCTAATGGAATCCAGTTTCAGGATCTTTACACTGAAAATACAATTTAATTCATAGCGCTGGATTCTCTGATAAGTCCCCAACCTGGTTTCCTCCAGATGTTTCGGAGTACATCCTCCAACATTGCTGACAGTTGATCATGCCAGTTAGAGCGAATTAAAGTGGAAGTCCAAAAGCTCTCAAGAGCATGAGGTTTGGGAAGACTGTTCTACTGCATCATTTTCTCAACTTCTAGGTAATTATTAGGGCATTAACACCACAACCCTGTTATGTTTCTGGGGATCTTTTTAAGAGTTGTCACTCTATGTCACTTCTGTCTATTGATTTACAATGGACATGAAAGCAAATTGACTTTCTGCTTGATGTGTTGTGAAAGTATGTCGCTGTTTTTTATGCAAAGTAATGAAATTGTTTCTTTTCCTGCTCTTTGTCCCATTAAGAGTACAATGTGTGGTTGAAAAAAAAAAGATAAGCAGAGTAGAAAATTACATACTTTCCTTGTATTGCCTGTGGCTGTAATTATATCAGCTTTGACTCAGGGGTCCAAAATTTCAAACAAGACCGCATCTAACATGGCAGTTTAGGGCCTCATCTCTTCATCCCATAATTGGCCTGACCAAAGGCCTCTGCAGTCCCGTTACTCACAGGGGCTCATGGGGAGCCCCATAAGTGCGCTATAAGTGGCATCATACCTGTTCTCCAGCAACTGAAAATCAGAAACAGCCCCTAATATTCATCCATCGGAGCCTAAGTCCCCTGTACAGCCCCTGATATAGGCCACAGGCCTTATCCTCCGTGGATTTCCCTATCCAGCTTTGGTGACTATCAATGTACCTTGCAGCATTTTAACTATGCACTATTTAAGTATTCATTCCTATTCTCTGTGGCCACTTTAAAAAAAATTCTTAAGAGCACAGTGTGAACTTGGGTCTTTGCTGTAAAGGTTGCTTCAGTGAAAAATTAGTCATAACTGAACTCACAGAATAGGGGCTAACTGAAAGGATATTGAAGAAACCAACAGCAGTCTAAATCAGTTTGGATTTCTGTGAATCCAGCTTCCAGATCCCACAGTAAGCTTGTTTTTTTCTGAGTAACATGGATCCTACAGACTTGTGTACCAGTTTTGCACTTTGGGGTGGCAGTGCAGCTAATCTGAATTAGCACTAATGTGCATTAACTAATGTGTTAGCCCTTTTTTACAATTGCATGTTTGCACTGGTAGGATGAAATTCTGGTAAAAAACAAACCAGCCTGATTCCACCAATAGGCATACAATGGAACAAAAGTTGCTTGTTCATCCAAGAATCATAGATAGAGCAGAATTTTTAAAATCTGTGCATCCCTAGCCAATAGACTGGAACATGACTGGAAAAATCTGAGACTGGATTTCTAGTACTGTATGTCCTTTTTTTAGAGAAGCACCACCATGAGAAAAGGCTGTTGATTCAGCCAGCTGAGTGGCACTCAGGGAAGAGTGTTTTTGAGGTTTTTTTCTTCCCTAGTCAAAATTGCCCCACCCAGGTTGCTGTTTTCTTGCCAAGGTAAAAAAGATAACACATAACAAGTGCATGATCATAATGTTTTAGCATGCAGTGTTTTAATTCCAAGATTTAGCAATAATCTGACTGCACAAAGACACTTCCCATATCTGGATTCCTTCCCCAATTCTGTTTTTCTGGATGTCTGACTGCCCCGATCATTTGGATAACTGCAGTCTGGGCATTCAGTGTCATGTGCCCCCCCACCAAACACACCTAGACAGATAGGATGTAAAATGTTGTAAGAAGGATGCATTATCTGATGTCATTATCAGACAAGCTGGGATTAGACCTTCTACCCTCTCATATGCAGCCTAATAAACTTTCCAATATATTGTGCCCAGCTAGGACCTTCGTGGCATCATTTAATTAAAAAGAAGATTGCAGCAAGTGACAAGATGCTATTTCAGAATCGGCCACAGCGCAGATCTCTGTTCCTTGGTGGAGTCTAGTGTGAGAAAGGCAATCTGTGTTTCAGGCTATTCTGAGGGTCTCTTTTTATCATGCCATGCAGGCATATGGAGTACAAAGCAGAGGTCAGATGCTGAGGATGAAAAGCATTTGACATGATGACAGCCACTCTGGGGAGGAAAGAAGAAAACCATGACATTTTTCTCTCTTCCTAGGAGCCACCTGTCAAGAGTGACCTCTTTCCGCAAAGGTACAAAAAAACTGAAAGAAGAAAGGGAAATGTCCACCCAGAAAATAGCATCATTGCTCACATGGGGAATAAAACATGACACATCTCTGTTCTCTGAAGGCTCTTCCACCAGGGGGTTGGGCGTGAAGTGGAAGCATGGATGCTATGCAAGCCCCATGTCAAGGCATGAGCACCAGCCCGCCTTCACAGCAGGGCTACCTGCTGCTTTGCTACTCAGTGTGGAATTGC